GGATAACCTTACTTGGAATAGCTTGACGTAGCAGAAACAGAAACTAAAAGCACAAAGCTGACTGAACAAATAACTATAATAAAATTTGAATTCTAAAGTTTGATTAAATGTGTAAGTTGGAAAAGGTATATTATCCTAAGAGAATTAGAAGTTCTGCTTTGTAACATGTAAATATACACTTGGCAACTGGTCTGTATATAAACGCAATCCTAAACTGCCAGGTATAAGAAAAAATATTTTCCTTTTTCATATGGAATGAAGAAATGACTCCTGTTTCAGGGTATATCAGTTATTCCAATTGTAAGAATAATTATTCATGGAAGTTATGCAATTTTTAGTATGCTAACAAAATTAGAAGTTCTATTTTGGTAAATGTAATTATATCACTGAAAAACTTGATAATTGGTTCATATTCCACTGCGATCATAAATTATCAAAAAATAAGCTGATATTTTTCTAATATTGTCTTTGTCCATACACAACAACGAAATCTAAATAAGGTAAAGTCACGTGCTTCCCACAATTCATCAAAGCTAAATACAGTTTCTTATGTGCGTAGACTTTTACATAGCACTAGAAGATGCAGACCTTGGGAGGTACAAAGGCCAACTGGTTTCAATTACACACATATAATAGAATCACTTACCCCGGAATGGGGCAGCAATGGCAATCCAATTCTTGACATATTTCTCAAATATCTGCCAAAAAATAGGTATAAAATTTGAGGTTTTCCATCAAAGAAACACTAAAGAAGCATCAGATAGCAACTTAATCATCCAAATATAAGGAAAATAAGAACAGAGCATCGATCCAAGAGACGATGTGGGAAATTTACATCACTGTGCAGGGACATGAAGCATTTAACTAGCAGACCCCCCATTGAATGACTTATGATGTTTATCTTTTTCCCTCCTGATGCTTGATACACTGACTCTAACTTTTTAGCAAGGCGCTCTAATGTCTCTGGCAACCTAGAAATTAAGCAAAGCACGAGTGCCCTAAATCATGAAGAGTAAAAGGAAAAGAAATGCTCCATACATTGTAAAGCCAACTCCATTTAAAAGAAAAAAATGATTTGGGGCTAAGAACTCGGTAATTATAGCAGTATTGGAGATAGCTGGTTGGCTTAAATCATACCTGTTGCTTTGCCGAAAATCGTAACCAAACCCGAAAAGAGTTTTTCCCTCTTGAAAACCCCACTTGATCATTTCAACAATCATATCATGGAAATAATAAACACAGTCACGTCCTATTATCTGCATGAAATAAAATAATGTGTATGAAACTTCCATGCAAATTTAATTGAGAACTAAAAGCCAACCTTTATAGCAATATATTCAATTTTGATAACATCTGATCATCACTCTTTTTCCACAATAAAACTAATATCTAAAGAAATTTGAGACCAAGTTGCATACCAACCCGCATCAGCCATGAATTTGACGTTTTACAATACAATGGAAAATAGAAAAAGCTTCTTATACACGAGAGGCATTAGAAATGAACAAAATAATGGATTAAAGGTGAATTTTGAGATATCAAGTAACTTGAATGTTGGAGCATATACTTAAGAATTGTTTAAAATGAACAAAACTATAATGAAGTTCTAGTTGAACAAAGCCAGTAAATTAAATCAGAAAACATCCAATATAATGCATTTGAATTTTCCAGTAAAATGGACTCCTTTCTGTAAAGTTGTTCTCCAAAACATCTCCTATCTCGAGAGCATTAACAAGTCCTTTAATTGTGAGCTTGTGTTTCAATTATTCAAATTAGAGCTGACTTTCTCTGTTGCAATTGTTATTGAACAAAGTAGAACTTCCTATTATAAAGCAAATATAACGGAATAATAGCACCCCCCACCCCCCCAACCCACCTAGTTAAAAGTGGAAAATTTTACTCCATAGCAAGGTTTTGAATCTAAATATCATGTAAGATAAGCATAAAAGACACGAAGATGAAGAACATACCATGTCAGGATCCAACACATCAATAGCATGCAATCCATATCTATCTTCAGGAACCACAATATTTGTCTTTGGATCTAAAGTCACAGACCTTCCTGTGTCCCATAAACACATTAAATTAACAGCATAAGTAAAAGGCAAACTATTATTCAGCATCACAATTTCTCATCATACAATTTCTATTTAATTTTTTTTTTTAATGCGTCCTGATTCTCAAAAGTATCATAAAATTAACAAATTTTAGAAATTCTCAAACTTTACCCCCATTTTCTACTAAACTAAACTTTGCCTAAAATCTAAGCACCAAGCATGAGAATGAAATATTGACAAACCAAACGCGCATTAAATCATTTGACCCCAAATAAAACAGAATTTGTCTTTTGCAAACACAAAATATATATTAATTTAATGATTTCCACAAAGATCATAAACTTAAAAACCTCTATAAATCCTCAAACCTTACCCCGTTTTTCCTTTTCCACCCGTAAATTAACGTTTTCCCAGTTTCTAATCAACCAAGCTTATGCTTAAATTCCTTAACTTTCCATCAGTTTCTCAGCAACCAAACACATCCTTAACTACAATCCCATAAAATCACTCAAAAATCCCAACTTTTCCTTCCATTTTACAAAAAGCAAATCCACCGTAAAACAGCTCGTTAAAAAAAAAAAACCCAATTGATTAACCACAAAATCACAAAAATAAAAACCCTTAGAAAATCAAATTTTTTTTTTTACCAGTTTGAGGATCAAACCGAGACCAGAGCTTAGTTCGGCACGTGTAATCAGCAGCAAGAATCCGAATCCAAACTCGTTCTTCTTTATCACCATTCTCCTTATCTACTGCTTTTAGAATCGAACCGGCGATACCCGGGACTAAAAGGACCGGGTCGAGATTCGGATCAACGTAAGGCTGCGGTTTTTTTATCAAGCGTAGCCATAATTCCACCGATCGAACAATGTCTTCTAGTAACATAGCCATGATTGATTGAGTGATTGATCAGAAACCCTAATTTCTGCTCTTGTTGAGAATGATTGGGAATTTTTTGAGGGAGAATTGAAATTTTAGGGACTGGGGGCTTTTTAGAGCAGAGATCTGAAGGCAAGAGAGAGATTTTAGCCGGTAAGAGACGGAAGTGGATAATTATGATTACAAGCCAGTCCTCGAACTATTAAATATTTTCTAATTTTATAATATTTTTGCAATTTTATCAAGGCGACTACCATTGACGAATGACTTATTAATATAATTAATTAATGTTTCTTTCTGCAAATAATATGGATTTTGCTAATTTCATGTCCCTAACAATTTAATATATATATATATATAGTAAATAAAATATTATATCTAGTGTGCTAAACATGTCGTGGAAATTAAGTTATTATAATTAATACAAGACTTTATTATATAACACAAAGTATTTTATTGTATACTACACATGCAATGAGGTTGACGAAGTAATATTGATAATTGAGTATTAAGGATAATAATTTTGTTTCATGATTAAGAAAACGCGGTAAAAAAATTTAATTTTTTATATATTTTGAATTTTTTAATGAATTGATTTTAAAAATAATTTTTAAAAAATAAAATAAAAATCATTTTAATATATTTTAACATGAAAAATATTATAAAAAGTATTTGCAATTATATTTTCAAACAAATTCTAAATGATATGTTCAAACTAATTTTTACTTGTTTAGATTTGAAATTGATTCACATAAGCTATTTATATCAAAATTGAGATATGAAAATTTTAATTAGTATGATAATCCTTTCCAATTAAAGGGAAAAAATACAATATGAATTAGATTTTGACACCAAGATTACAGATACATCCTCCATTCTCAAATTTATTATTCTTTCTCAAGGTAATGTCGATTGTTCATCGTTTAAATTGAGTCTTATACATTACATTCGATTTAATTTTTAAATCCCTACTGTAATTGGGTGACTAATTTATAGCTAATGTAAATTATTCTTGCAACATTGCCTGATCATGCATGTAGTTAATCCCTACTATGCACATATATTAGTGGGTTGACCTTGAAAAAATTGTATTTTAGAGTTTGATGTCTATCAATTTTAAAGTTGAATTATAAAAAATATTAATTTAATAAAACCCAATTAATCCAGTTATTTTTTAATAATTTAATTGAATCAAGTCAAATAGGTTCAAGTTAATTTAAAAAAATCAAAAAAACAAAATCATTTTAATAAAATAGAAATTACTCATGACATCATATTCAAGGATATTGTTCTTGCACACCAACCTTTGGGAAATTATTGCTTGCATTCCTAGAAACTTGTACAGAGAATCTGTGGATTTCGTAAACGTAGGAACAACGTATTTTTCGCAATCATCTTCTGGTGATGTTCGTTTTGTCTTTGACATAAGTTGTCAAAGAAATCAGTCCGAGTTAGATGATCAACTCGTTTTCTTGAGTAATGTAATCAACTTTCTTTTGTTGACTAATTAAGTTTCTTCAGAACCTGACAATTTAGCTCTTAATATTCGGCTTCTAACACCAGATTTTTGGGAGAAAAGGACAAATAATTTGCACATTGAATCCCCCAACTAATTAGATGTTATCCAATTTAGTCCCTATTGATTAATTGTAATCCTAAATTTAGCTTGAATCTTGATGATTTAGCCACCATTAATTATATGGCTGAGCTTATAAGATAATATCTGGGTATCATATTTATTCCTTCCTTTGTTCTTTGGATTGGTTAGGGTAGTGTTTGGAATTGTAAAGCAGGATTTTTTAAAAGTGTTTTATGTTTAAAAATGTATTAAAAAATATTTTTTTTTTATTTTTGATATCCAATTATCAAAACAATTAAAAAACACTAAAAAATTATAACATGAAACTAAAAAAATTTAAAAAATACAATTAACACCTAAATGAAATATATTATTGTACAAATAATTTATATGTATAGAAGGGGGGTGGAGCCATGAATTATTTTTAGAGGGGTTTCAAAACTGGAAAATAATTTTAAAGGAGCAAAATTTTAAATTTTTCTAGTTGTATAGGGAGCATATTGTAATTTTTTTTTTTTGAAGGGGTCGAGGGTCCACCACCACTTCACCGAGACTAATTTTATTCTACGGTTAAAAGATAAATGTATAATGTCCATAAACTGAATGTAAAAAATTGAGAGACAATGTATTTTGTGGACAAGAGTTTCAAGCAACAAAAACCGAATTGTAATGGGGAGCCAAGATAATATATATAAATGTTTACTATTATCTATTTATTTATGTATTATGAAAACTCAAATGTTGCTAATATTTTGTTCAAATAGTTATAATTTTGCATTAATTTTTATGAAACCTAGTCTAACACACTAGCAATGGCTATATACAAATAAATTGTAACAATGAATAATTAAGATTATATGTCAAAATCCCATTTATATTGTAACATTGCATTATAAAATTCTCCAATAGGCTGATAATTCATCAGCCATCCCCCTCGCCAGTCTCCACCGCCTTCTCCATTAACGCTCTCTTGCCACCAATCTATAGCCAAACCCCAAGATGTGGATTCCATCTGTGATGTCTTGTTGCAGCCATGGACCTAACTCCCTCTTGATAAAGGTACTTATCTATGTCTCTCCCTTTTGTTTTTGCTCACGATTTGCAAGCTTGCTGAGGGCTGTTAAGAATGAGAATGTCACGTTGGAAGGGAAACGAAAAGCAAGGAGAAAGCCAAAACCCAGTTGTTTTAAAGCAAGAGGAGGTGAAGCTCGTTAAGAGCTTGGCTCTACCTTTAATGGCTGGCCTTGTAGCCTTATCTCCCATTGTCAACACCCCAGGTAACTTACAGCCATACAAAGGATTTCTTCTTATCTACTTCTATAGTTTTTGCTAGCTTCGTATGCTCAATTGATTAAATTGCCCTTGCTTCTATTTCATAATGCCACAATATGCCATCGTGATTTTTAGGCTTTGCTTTTCACCTTAGAAAATTGTAGTAGTATTCAATGAAAATACAGTATTAAGTACGTATTATATTATAATAAACAGTATCTCAACTCATGTCATCGTAATTGCCACTGCAAGTGACATAAATGCTGCTAAACTACTTAAATAACATGATAACAGTGAAATGCGAGATTAAAGTATATTTATAATTGCATATCTGTGTAAGTTTATTATAATTAGTGCAGGACACGGGCAATTAAACTTAAATATCTACAGAACTTTATTAAAAAAAAAACAAATTGTAGATGCTTTTTCTAACGCCATTTGATTTTCTTGCAAGATAGGGCTTTAAATCTTCTGGGCAATGTTTTTGTTTGTGCAGTGTCACTAGGACAAACCCTAGATGTACAAAGAGGAGCCTCATTGTTTAGCCGCACTTGCATTGGCTGTCATGATGCTGGTGGAAACATAATTCAACCCGTGAGTCTTTTGGTGGAAGCTTATCCTCTATAATGTTTTTAATTTTAAAAGTGTTTTGTAATAAAAGTAATATTTTTTATTTTTTAATATTAATACATTAAAATCATTCAAAAATACATAAAAATATGAAAAAAACACTTTCAAAAAGTTTTTATAAGGCAATAATAAACACTGACGTCTTCCCATCACCATCTCTCCATTTTCCTTTTCCAATATCTTGTTAATTCTTGTTAGTTTCATATTGATTTCAGGGTGCAACGCTCTTCACAAAGGACCTACAGAGGTACTTAAATTAATATACGAACGAAAATACCATCTCCTGGTCAAATTCCATTGTATAATTTAGGTTTGCACATTAAATTTCTGTCTTTTAGAGTTGAAAAACTTGTTTTTTTTTTTTTTCTAAAGAAGTAGAAACAAATTGAATGATGGCATGCACTAGCAGGAATGGAGCAGACACTGAAGAAGAAATTTATCGCATAACATACTTTGGCAAAGGGAGAATGCCTGTAAGTTTTCCATTGAAATCAAAGTATCTGCTTCCATGTTATTTGTTTGTTCTTGATTTTGGTTAAGGAGATCATAGGTGTTGCGATGCTAATAGGGATTCGGTGAGAGGTGTACTCCAAGAGGACAGTGCACATTTGGACCACGGTTGCAGGATGAAGAGATTAAGCTCTTGGCTCAATTTGTGAAGTCACAAGCAGATCAAGGCTGGCCAAACATAGAAATTAGTCAAGATTGATTCTTGTAAAGAAAAAAAAATTATGCCCAAGTGCCCGAAACCATCGTGTCTGAGCTATTCCATCCATATCTCATTATGGATCAAACCCATTTTAAATTAAGTTACAAATTGATAGTTTTCAACCCCTGCAATGATTTTTTTTTCCTTCCTTTTTTCCCTATTAATATGACCTGCCGTCGTGAAACAGTACTATCAGAATGGTACATGTTCTGAATTGAATAATAATTTCTAGTATAGCAAAGAAGAAAAAACTACGAAAAGATGAGCTCTTGTTATAATCAAATGATTAAGATTAAAATTACGTGAAATCATTGATCCCATTGGTAAGCAAGTGATAAGGCTTATGCGGAAGTGATCAATGGGGTTAGAGATGGAAACAGGGAACTTATAGGTTTGAAGATATTTATATGAGAGCAGAAATTAATTTGATAGTTGTTGATCTTGATAGGCTGATAGCCTTCTTCCTCGTGAGGTTACTACATATGTGTGTAAATAGATATGTTAGTTCGGACACGATATTCTTGGATTTCTTTACGCTTTGATCAAGATAAAGTTTTTCTTAGTCTGATGTAGTTAAGGAAATTTAATAAATGTTTTGGATTGTCCTCAAAATTTGATTTCAGAAAATCAGTCCTGAAGAACTCTTACAACCTGGAGGTTTTCTGAAATAAATTGAAAGAGACTTGGCAGGATTGTTGGAGAACTCCTACAACCTAGAAGTTACCTGAAATTAATTGGGTTAGGCCATGAAGGTGACCAGCTCAATATATCTGTTGAACCAACTAAAAGTTTTGGTGTAAAAACTATTCATAATTTTGACAGTGAATGTTAAAGTAATGTTTGTATAATTGCAGATTGTGTGAGTGATTCTGATGCTGAAAGAATGCTTGGATATGCAATCTTTTAAGATGGGAAAAGTGCCAAACCACCATATCCGTTAGAGAACTTTCATTCAGATGTTGCAGGAAGAAGCTTTCATATTGGCTCTGCTAATTCTGCGGGCTGATATCCCAACCTGTTTTGTCAGCTTGCTGCTGGAGAATTGCAACCTTCCGTAAGCAAATCATGGACATGAAGTACCGAGATTCGCTGCGAAGTAGATGTTCCTGGACAGAAAGTGCCTTCCCTCTCTAATGGTGAAATGGCTCCCTGTTTGAAGCATACCAAAGCTCCCCAGGTCACCAAGATTTTATTCGAACGATTTTTTATGTGAAATAGTACTAAGCAATGAAAATCTCTTATGTTTGAAATCAGCATCTGCTTCTCGCTTTTCTGATTCGTTACAAAATCAAGCAAATTACATATCTCAGACCCTCCTGAATTGCATGATGCCTTCATTTCTGCAATTGACAAGGGAGCATAAAAACAATGACAGACATAAGCATGCCAGCTTTCTCCAATGGGGGACTCATTTAACTGGGGGAGGAATGACTCTGGCTCTATCACACATTGTGCTGCTACGTGATCTTCTTCGACCTCAACTCAAAGATACATCTTCCTTTGCAAATATCCCCAGTCCTTCTACTCCCTGGGTAAGGTAAGACAAGCCGATGAAAACCCTGATGAGCTTGTCGACATAAGATAAGACACTGATTTTAACAAATGATTAATGCTTTTGTTCGCAGCAAGTGGCACCTCCTATGAACACATTGGCAGGTGCCCTATACAAGGTGTTTAGGGCATCACCTGATCATGCAGCTAGAAACGAAATGTGCCAAGCATGTTTTGACTACATGAGCCCTGAGCTCGGTTCGCCATTTCTTTGCAGTGGCTATCTATGGTGGTGGCCACCTAAAGCTTCCCTTAAATCTAGTCTGCACTATGCTTTCCCGCTTATGTGGGTTGGGCCGTCGTGGCTGTCCCGTTACCAAGCTTCTCACAAATTGAAAACCACGGGCAGTACTTTGGACTTTAGCCCATTTATTAGCAATTTAATAATCAGATCTTTTTGAAGCATGATTTTCTTGGACTTGACAGTAAGGTAAACTTGAAATAGAATTAACTAGTTATGTCACATTTTTTTTTTCAAAAAAATAGATATGTATGTTTTTCTTACACTTTTTTATATAAAAAAATCCCAAGTAAAAATAAAAAAAATCTTGGGTAAAAAATTAATCAAATAAATAAAAAACTATATGTGTTAATAAATAAATAAAAAATTATTAACAATAAAAATTAAAAATCTAAGAGGAGTATAAAGCAAGATATTTGGCCTTCAACTCAAGCCTTTGACACAGTTTTATCTAAAGACTTTATTTATAAAAATTAATTTTTTATTTTATCAAATAATAGTAAAAATAGATATATATAAAATTAATTGAATAAAATAAAAGGTAAATAAATATAATTAAAAATATTATCCAGAAATAAATATTTTTTATTTTTAAAAATAAATTTCATTTATATAAAAGATAAAAAAAAGTTATAAATGAATTATAACAATCTCTTCAAAAATTAAATACATAAAAAATAATCTCTATTTTAAATAAGTTAAAGAAAAATGAATATTATTTAAATATAAAATTAAAAATTATTTTTAAAAAATATATATAAAAAAGATATTAATTAAAATTATTATTTTGTTTTTTGAAAAAGGTTAGGCTAGTGAGCCTAGCTCATCTAGTAAAGCCCCATTGCTTGGGCTCTTAATTTTATTTTATTTTCTGATGTGCTGGAAAATATATTGTTTGCTTCAATTTTTTTAAGAAACTGTAATAGCTAAAAAATTAGAGTAAATGTTTTTTCAATTCAAAAATTTATTTTCAATTTATTTTTTAACACAAAACATCTAAAAAATATTTTAAGTAACTTGATAAATTGATTTATAGCCTCTAAAAGCCTAATAAACTATCCTGAAACCAAATATCTTATTGAGCTTAAATATATTTTTTTATGCAATTTTAAGATAAAAAAATACTTAATATGAACTCTTTTTATCCAATAAAATAATTTGATACCAATATCAATTATTTTTTATAATCATTACCAACAAAATTTTTTTCTCTTGATAATAAAATAATTAAAAAAAAATTTGGGATTAAAATTTATTTTGCCCTTAATTTTTGAAAACTAGAGGAACCCAATGTTTATAATTTGAAAAATCTAGAGACTATAATAAACACTTCACCTAAAAATTGTTAAAGCCAATCACTCCTTTTTTTTTTTTTGGTTCCCCGATCTTTTAACCCTACCATTCCCTAATAAATTATCCTATAATTTGATCCAATAAGGACCAAATTAAAAAGAAAAAAGGTGATAAAAAAAACATTATGAACAGTTCATCCGTTGTGCTACGTAAGGGGATCTACAATACATTTTGTGCAGTGAATTCTTTGCCTGTTTTAGATTTATTTATTATAATTATAATATTTTGAAAGCAATATAAAAATAATTTTTGTAACAATAACACTAAATTACACAACAAGTGAATGATTTGATAACGATAGTTTTCTTTACATAAAATTTATATGCTTATTTATTTTAGTTCTTTAAATAATCTTCAAAGGCGGTTTTCATGTTTTTTTTAAATAAAAATTTTGAATTTTTGCTGAATTGATATTTCATTCTTGTAGTTGTTGTTGTTTATCAAATACTTTAATATTGTGATTTATTTTTCTAATTACCTAGTCTATTTTATTTAATAAATTTTTTTAGTATTTATATATAAATATGGAAAACCCTAACTTGGATCGATATATATACCTTCCAATTTATTACTTTTCTTTTAACTTTACATTAATTTCCCTTCTTTTCTTTTAACTAGTAACAATATATAAATTGATTAAAAAATATTTTATTTCTAACTAAATTAAATAGAAAAGTAGAATTCACATAATTTATTAAAACCAATGGACTTGATCAATAATAACTATAATAATATTTTACTCCCGTCTAATTAATTTTATTTTGCTGCCATCTAATTAATCTTTGACTTTTATATCAAAATAAAAATACGATTCAAACTATTTAATTTATAAAAAGGTTCTCCCAAGATTTAGGTTACGTAAGATGGTGTTTTTCTTTCTTTCTTTCTTTTATTTTATTATTAAGAATTTAGATTCATGACTACCCCCTTTCGGTTCCTTGAGAGCTGGATATGAGTGAAGTTAGATTTTGGAAGTCCCGTTTAAACTTGGAGAGTTTAGTAGGGGTGTTAATATATGTAATATTTATATTATCTTAGTTTATATATAATATTTGTATTATTTAACTTAATTTAACATGTTAAGGTAAAATAATATAAACATTACATGTGATAATAGATTAAAAAATTTTAAAAATTAATATCATGGATCAAATGACTAGTATTATAGAATTTTTAAAATTCAGTTAATCTGACTCAACACATATACCCTATACAAGCCATTATTTGTTACATCTAAATTGATTTTTTTTAATTAATTAATGCAATTAATATATTAAACCTAAATTATTCATTACAATTTATAACATGTTTTGATTTAATTTATTGAGATCAAATCTTAATTTTAATTAAATTTAACCTATGAAAATTAATAATATAAACTCAACTCGTGATTATTTATAATATTTATAAAAAATAGTTTAACATAATATATATATTTTATAATCCACTCGAGTCTAAAAAAATTATAAATTAAATTAAATACATATAATTATAAATCCACACTCAACCCAGATATATCTATAATCACCGCTTCCTGTTTAGAAGAAACAAACCTATGATGGTATCAATCCTCAATTTTTTTGTAAAATATATTGAGAATTCTTTTTCTATTTTACATTTGGTATTCATGACACTCATTATAAAGCGGTTGCTCTTGTTCATAATAAATAGCTATTAACAAAAGTGGTATGGGTCTGTGGGATAAAATAAGATGCCAAATGGATTTATTTTTTCTTCTCTTTTGAGCCAATACTAATTCTATTATTCTAAGAAAAAGAGGATGCTTCTTTTTATGGGTCAACCCTGATTTTTTTTTTAATTTATCACATCAATTCGATCTCTTAAAAACAGATTTTAATTATTTCCTCCTTAAAAAAATATGATTTTACTTACACTTTATACTTTAACCTTTTCTTATACTATTCTTTTGGGCTGGATATGTTTATATATTTTCATATTATCAAATCAAACTTTTGCCCGAAACATTTGAGACCCGATTGGGAAAGAAAGCAAATAATTCCCTTCATGATTCAATCTCGTAGTGATGTGCCTTGACTTTTCAACCCTTGACACATCTTCTCCTCCAAGACTTTGATACTTCTAGAACACTAACATGCACAAAAGAATCTTTAGTCCATTATTTGTGGTGACTGCGCCTTGATCTGTGAAAAAGAATAGAAAGCCACTAAACATTTTCTTTGAATGGGAGCCAATGAAATGACAGTCGATCTCAAAATGAAACAAACGAAGAAGGGTTACAAATAAAATAAATAAATAAATAAATAATATTTCGAGCAGCCAGCAGGGTACTGTGCGCTTTTCTTGGAGTAATCCTTAAACTTAAGGGTCAAACTTGAGAACTTTGAAAGCTTGGAGCCATAAGAGATTCCATTTAAAAAATAATATAAAGATTTTGAGTTTTCTACCACCATTTATATATATATAGTTGTGATTCTATATTCGTAATATTAATAATATCATTAATTGTAAGCATGGAAGAATAATCCATCCTATTTGGTGGTGACTTTTGCATCATCTATTACTTAGCCATGGAATTCAAATCATAATTCGTCAAGCATCTTTACAAGGATTGGTTTCGGTTTTGCCTAATTACGAGAAAAAGAATTTAGTTTGCTTTTTTCCATGTTTTATTATTCTTACACGTATCACTTGTCACTATGGTTAATGCATCTTAATCATTATCTTATACGTAGATTTGAACTAAACATGTTTGCCATGGTCATTATCGAAAGCATCATTACGCATTTAATTATACCATGATCAGCATAGGAAACATAGAAACACAATCACATTGCCTAGGACCCCCACAAGCAGCTTAATTGGACAAGAAAATCCAACTTAATTAATCATGCTCTCCAAGAGACACTTCTTTTTAGAACAGTGTCGATCTCAAATATGCATTTACTATTTGACACAAAATATTACAGTATTTATATCTATACACAATTTACAATGCTTAATGTTTTTTACTAACAACCTATCTCTAGCCTAGCATGCATATATATATAAGCGAGAGTTTTGACTTGGATGGTGTGTTTGTTAGATACATCGATAAAATTTAGTGTATGTTTGAAGAAATTTTATTTCAAAGTGTTTTTTTAAATATATATATATATATATATATTTAAAAATTTATTTTTAATATAAATACATCAAAATAATCTAAATTTTAGACAAACAAAAAACACACCCTTAATTAGAATGGATTTAAGTTTGATTTTTTTTTAATCACGATAGGATGGAGGGAAATGATTTGTCAATTTCTATATGGTATTACGGATTAATTTTGCTTTTTAATAATGAGGTTGTCTACTGATCATTATGTAATTGTCTGAAAATGACTACATTTATGTGTTTATTTTTTCCCTTCACCACTATTAGTTTTTTCTCTATAAATTTAATCTTAAAAAAAGTATTCTCTAAATACTGTTTTTTTTTCTTTAGGGAAGTGTTCTCTAAAAATTTTTAATACTTATAGAACACAAATTTCGACTTTCCTGTTTTAGGTTGATACTAGATATACAGACTCTTTTCCACTTCTTGATCATGAGTTGAGCATAATACAAGAATCAGAAAAAAATGAATGGTTCTGGACTCTCAAGAAGCCGCTGCTCTCAGTCCCATGCCAATTAATGAAGGACAAGTGACATTAGGTTTGGGAGGCTCCTAAGAAACCCTAGATATGGCTCCATGAAACCAAAAAGTTATCTCCCAAGATTTAGGTCATAGAAATGCATGAGCAGTTAACAAGTCATATTAATCAATCAATCTTTTTAATTGTTCTTACTTTACAGAACAGGAAAGGAAAAAGATTCCGTGAGCCATGGACCTATGTATTTAGCTCAAGGTTAAGCTAAAGTTCAAATTACGCATGTTATGAGACAGATAGGACAATCAATAAATCCATTTTCCAAGGAGTAAAATGTAAAGATATAGGGAGGAATTTAAAAAGAAAAAAACTGTGGAAAGGTCAAAGGTAGACTCGCTAAAAAGCTTCTGGTTGGTACAAGTTGTCACCTCGCTTGATCCCATGACCTCGATAAATAGGAAAAGAACATCAATGGAGGATTTTACTTCTTAGAGTTAATCTTCCTAGGCACTTGCTTCTTTTTTCATTTGTTTAAAACTTAAAATATTATACATTTCGAACCACAGATTACAGGACAAAAACGATCTTATTTATCTATATGCTCCACTAGCATTTCATGTACCCTAATTCAAAGAAGAAGAAAAATAAAAAAGGGGTACAGGGATAGATTTGTTTTGGCCTATACAAGCGCTGCCAGCTTCATTTGGAGAGCTCAGTCATAATTTGAACTCCTTATTTAGATTAAATGGATAGTGACTAGTGAAGCTGCGTCCCAACTTTCTGGTTAAAAGCTCAGCTTTAATGGTGCTGTCTGTGTCCAACAACTGCGCTTTGAGCTTTACCCAAAAAAAAAATGGCAGAGGATAAGAAGAGACTAGAAATGGAGGGTGCAAAAAGAAGAGAAATTACTCATGGATTTCTTTGAAATAAATACATAAGATTTTTTGGAGCAAATTAATTATGATCACAAAACCTACTTTAAGAGATAATGGACATCAGACCACCCCGGACGGGCAGAGAATGATAACCATGGGGCAAACAAAAGGCATCTCCAAACCCTATCTACAAAGGAAGAACAAACGAATAGCCAAGCAAAAGTGGGACCATAAAAACATAGGGAAAAGAAGAGAGCACCGATGAATAAGTGAGAGAGAGAGAAGAAAAAAACCCTAATCTCGCAATATTGCTTTATTCACAAACCACCACCACACCTACCTTAATCAAATGAAGATTCAACTCTTAGAGCTAAATCACAAAGCAAAACCATGTGAGGCCTATCCATTTAATATAAATATTCAAGAAAAAGGTGTGGTCCTTGCCTTCCATTAGGGCTTGTCTACATGTCATTGTTTGTCAACCAAAGACAGAAGAACCACCCAAAGCTAAAGACAAAAGGATGCCCTCAACTGATTCCACCAACCTGGCCAATACATACACTTCAAATAAATAATGAAACAGTATTTATTGTAATGGTGTTACTGTAGGTCCAAAGAGTTCACTCAGCACATGGCAACTGCCCTTATTTTTAGTCGCTAGGCATGCTTAATGCTGAGAGTAGTGAACATAAGAAACCCTAGCTGATCATGCCAAGATTATTTATCACAGCCGTTTGCATTCTAGCTAGCTAGCAGCACACACCATTTTAGATATAAAATATATATATATAAAAAAAAAAACTCAGGCCATGCAGTCCACAGGGTAAAAGACATAATCCATGACAAATCAAGCGTGCACTGCCCTTTTTCTTTCCCATCTTCCAATTACCCTAATCTTACAAATCCACATGCTATGTATGTAACTCTCCCTCTTAATTCTATTAGAAAACCTGCCCTTAGAATAGGTCAAAAGGCTAGCCCTTACTCTAACTGGCTGGTCTCTCTAGGGCATCATTTGATTTCTAACCTTTTTTATTGCTAAAATCATTCTATTTTTACATAAAATGGTTGTACACATGGACTATCGATCATTTACCCGACATAAACTATTGCATGCTTAATCAGGACATCTTCCTAAATTAGAAACACCATTTGATGCATAAACTTTATGGAAAAATAAATATTTTCCCTTGATTATTTTTATTTTTTTACTTAGTATTATTAGTATTTCCTAGTTTTTCTACTTGAATGAACAGTTTTTTTCCTATTTAGTATTATTAAGCTTTTATATTTTGTTTCCTATTGAATATTATTTGGGTTTTCTAATATATATATATATATATATATTCTCATATATATATATATATATATATATATATATATATATATATATCTTTGTAACAAGAAGATTTGAATGAATAACAATTAATTATTTTTAGTATCTTCTCATTATCATAGATTTACCATGTTCTTACTCCTTGAAGATCTTGATCTCATTGTCTTTTCAAGGAGTCTTCTTCTTTTCACCTACTTTGCTTCTCGCGACGGTAAAATGATTTATGCCCGCTCATATTTCATTATTTAATTTTCAAACCTAGCTGTCCAATATATTCATAGAAATTATTGTTTACAATATTTTTTTTGTTAAAAGTATAATTAATCATGCATGTTACTTTCAGTTGATTTTTCATTCAACCACTTTTTAGTTTGACCTTAACAACTTAATTTCTTTGACATATAACAGTAAGATATTAAATTAATTAATCTTAGTCGAGAGCAGGGTTTCTTTGATTGTTAGGAGGACCAAGTGGTGGTCCCTTTTCATTGATATATTCATTCATGTAACCTTGTGTGGTGAGAAGAGAGAAGGAAAGAGAGGCAAGAGGTCTGTGTCAATAGCTGTAAGGAAGGGCCAAAACTCACCATTAAATACTCCATCTATGACACAGTACAACAGAGTGGAGGAAGAAGAGAGAGGTGCATTTATATAAATGGAGAGGGAGAGTCACGAGGATTCCCCTACCTAAAACATGCACAGCTCGTGCTTTCCTTTGTCAATCTTTAGGTGAGAAATTAAGCTTCTGCTTCTTTCCCTTTAAATTAGACCTCTTAGCTTTCCAAATTTCCCCAAAAAGGCCAAACCTCACTCCCCCCATATGGTTCTTCCTTCAATTTGTCTTATATGTTGGTTTGAGAGGTTGAAGCTGCCAGCATGATCTGGTAATGAACGTGTTACTCTCATTTATATATATATTAACATCAATCTTATAGCAGTATTTGTAGGTAGAAGAAATTTAATGTTGTCAAAGATATATACTGAATCGTGGTAGCTATGTTTGTATTACTAGTTTAGGATGCATGTTTTTGATCTTATGATGATCAATTGCTTGTGAGTTTTTAGGCAATGAAAACAGAATATACTGGTGATTTTTCCCAGTAAAATTGTCGAGAAAAGGGAATTGCACTAATAGGGAAGACGCATAGGTAAACTTGTACCTAAATGGTATATGTATTTTCCAGGCAAAAAGGTAGAAACCTAATTAGAAACTAGCTTGAACTCAGAGCTATAAAAGTATATGGTTCCATCAGGTCATCTTGCAGCTTCAATCACTCACTCACAAACAGCAGAAGAGATTCTGAAACATGCTTTTCTGGGGTCTAATTGGCTCTCACAGAGTCACAATTGCTTTATACCAGGTGATCAATTCTTTGGTTCTTGCTTCATCTTCCCTTTCTTTTCTTTTGTTGTTTATCTCTGGATTAGTTACCATTGAAATTGCAATTTCATGTTGATTATGATGTGATTTTGATCTCAATAATTAACCTCTATTTTCCTTTATTGCAAACACAAGAATTATGCATATGCGAACATACACAAGCAGACACTCACGCATTTGCCTGTCCAGTCAGTGTATTGTTGATTTTTTAACCTACTCAGATCCAGCTATATCTCTTACAACAACTAAAAATGCCAAGAATGACAATATATTATCCATATCTCTCCTGTCTGCATGGCTGGATGCTTCCATGTTTGTCTTTACTAGTGGGCTGCGGGTAGTATCAAGAATCAATATGTAAATTAAATTCACAAAACACAAGAAAGGCAAGCTAGATAGGAAATGTATATATTAATTTATTTTTTATATTGTGTATATGGTGGTAAACCCAATGCTCTCATAATTGCATATATACTTGGTTTCTGCAGTCTTTTCATCATGTCTCTCACTATATTAATTTTGGCCTCACCTACCCCTTACAATTTTGTACTGATTTTGGGAGTGAAACTGAATAGGAGACAAAAGGTGGTACAAATTTGGTTTCATCCTTAATTGCACACGGTTAGGGGTCCAGCTTGGTGTTGGTGACCCACAATTCTGAACAGACATTGACAAAACTACACAGGATGTTACATTCATCTGTTGGATAATTAGCATTCTGTGGTTTCCCAGATTATAAATTGCAGTGAGTTTCCTCACATAGTATTAAGGTGGCAGTTGGGGCATTTTTATAGACTACCTATGCTTCATAAGCACTTAGCTGATTCAATCTCTTTATCAGACATTCAAGCATAACATCAGAAGTTTCTGTGAGATTGCTGTTTTTCCCTTTTATTCATCAATATTCTGTATCTCAAGAGTTTCCAAAAAGATTCAATCGAAACAAGGCTCATTGGCATGATATTGCATAGCTCATTAATTGCCATGCACACATCTGGTAGTCTTACGGGGACAAAAACTTAGATTTATTGCTTCAAATAACAGGAATTTTCGGTAAAAATTAAATTTGTAACCTTACAAAATAAAATGGAGAAATGATTTTTTTATATCCAACTCTACATATCTAATTCCAGGCCAAGATACGGATAAGTTGTATCATGAATATTGCACCAACATAAAAGAGCGCTTGAATTTTATTAGTTGGTGTTAATTAAAGAATATAAGGGATAGGAATATAGGCCTCGTGATAGGGCATATCTTAATTATGTAAAATTGGATTTTAATGTTTTGATATCAGCTGTATGAAAAGTTAGTTAATCACTGATATCAAGTTTTGGTGATCATGGACAAGTGTGTGACCTTTTCCCTCCAAGTTGTTGTCAAGACAGGGAGACCACTTGCTTTTAGTCTCTTCATACCTGCAAAAGATGCTTCCAGTTGTAATTTCTTGGCTTTATTCTTCACGTACTAATTTAAAAGATTTGATTTACCTAATTAAGTAGTGGTGGTGTTTAATTAATTTGTCGAAAAGGGAAAACTTAGTAGTGTTGGTTGAATTTTTCCATGAAAAACCAACTTCGATTGATGTGATTTGGTGATAACATGGATTAGATTGTTGCCATTTTATTTCTTTCAGTTTTTTTTTTTCTCATTTTTATCATGACTATGGCATCTGAAGATCGGATTCACTGTTTTAGCACCTTATAGACAGCTAATTTCTGTCCTTGATTGCTAAATATTCTAGTTCCAAGTGTAGATATATATTCTTTAATTTCTTGGTCTATCATGTTTCTACCAGGAAAACAATGGGATATCAGTGATATTTCAATGACAATGAGATTATAGTTTGTGGTAGAGCTTGCTTTCAAGTGTACTTAAGAATTAATAAAAACTGTTGCGAAAATGTTGTTCTTTTCTTTATTTCTGGTGTTCTTGCTTTCAAGTTAGGGATATACCAATTTTAATATGAAAGGGTAGATACTGGCTTGTTTTTCCCTAATAAAAAGTTAAGGAACTACAATCTTTTGGAGGATTTGTTTGTGCACATATATTTTTAATTAGCCTTTATCTTTTATTTTTATCTTGAAATCCCATCAATATATATCGTACTTTTGACAGCAGCACTAGAAATTAATTACATTGGGAGCCACTTTTGTTTTCATCTCTAGAGCTGCATGCCTGCTAGTAGGAAAGTCACTTGATTTCAAAAACTAATTATGAGTTACTATACAATTTGATTGATTTGTGAAGCTCATTGCTCGTCTTTTGGAGCTTAGATTAGTGTTATAGCTAGAATGCCAGAGGTGACTTGAAGATCTATATGGAACAGCAGGTAAGTTCATCATTTTTTTATGATGATTTTGTGTTACATTTAGACCTTTTCAATCTAGATACACTCTGTGATGAATTGCATATTTTTATGTATTAATTACCTATTTATTTTGAGAGGGATATTGTATTGATTTGAGAGTTCAAATTACTAGAAAACATCGATGGTGACAAGAAAGCTTTATTCATTATTAAATGGGACGATCTTGAAAGATGTGAAGCAAGCTTGTGTACTAAAAAAAATGGACTTAAAATCATGGTTTTAAATTTCAAGCTTCTAGTATCTGTCATGCTATAAACATGGTGGTTGATGATTAATATGCTTTTGGTCCTTTAATTGGCCGATGCTGTTAGCTACAACTGGGAATTGATTAGGTTTCGATGTTGCAGAGAAAGAACAGTAGTCTATCTTGTGAGATGAAGGTCCCCAAGCTAATATAGCTCATATATGGAGAAACAGGAGAAAATAGTTAGAATAGTGTGGTGTATGAAAGTGAGGGTATACCTTGTATGATTTGATGAGGTCTTGCAGGCCACTAAACACCAATAATTGATGCTTAAATATTGGTTAAACCATCACAATTACACAGTAAGTTCTTTAATTATTTGAAAATTCCTTACAAATTACACCTCTTCAATTTTTTTCTTTTCTTAAATGAATCCCCTTTAGCAAGGGCTAGACGTGAACAGGAGTCCTTCCCCTCTGAACAAGATATAAACGTGGATCCACACACACATTTGGTAAGGCTTTTTAAGGTGAGTTTTGTGCTAATTATGAAGATAACCCTGGTGATGACAATGATGATCCTAATCATCTCAGTTAAGCATTCAATACTGTTAAGTACAATTAACAGTAAAAAATAAGAATGCACCATCATTACAAGGCATGCAAATAGAGGGGAAGCAGGAATCCTTACCACAAATATTTAAGGCTGCAAATCATTGAAGTCTCCCACTAAAGCACGAAAGAAGAAAAGAGCTTATAGCTTTGTTTCTTTAAGATCCCTTTGAGCTTGGCATCTGCAGAAAGACGGTCCTGCTAAAAATCTGCTAAAAGGTCAAAAAGGCACCAGTGTTTCTGCACAAAAAAACAGATCTGCTATTATAGAATCTGCCACTGGAAGAAATAACTAAGCACCAGCTTTCAGACAAAGAAATCCTGCTGCTGCAAACTCCAAATTCCATTGCCGTTGTGCCCTTTTAGCATGTGGGTGACACATGTGTGACAACTACAAATGATGAAATCTGTATGGAAGATATGAGAATTCTTGTACCTGAATATTTCCAATATTTATGAGGCATGGTAACTTTTTTGTTTTCCATAGAAACAACCATCAGGCTTTCACGCTAGGATTATACTACCTTCGAGTTATGTACTAGCCATTAACTACATTTACTCTTCTTCTTTTTTCCAGATGAAAGATGATCAGTATTGTCTGATGGACTACCTCTTGATTACTACACTCTATTATATATATATATATAAAAGGATCAATATTGTGTTATAAAAATTCATCTTATCAAACAGTAGTTCAATTAATTACTCTATGGATATGCTAGCTATGGATGATAAAAGTAAAATTACACTCAAAAGGTGCATTTATTTTCTTTTTCATAATAATTACATTGTTATTTAAAAAAAAAAACAAAGAGTATTAATTTTTAGTATAATTTTTTTATTACAAAATGATTTTTTTTTCTTGAGATTAGGGTAATCTTTCTTATCCTTTTTAGGATTTGAATTTAAAACCTTTAAATTAAAATTTCAAATCTTAACTATATTAGACGTACTGTTTACACAGACGCACTTGAGAAATAAGAATTTTTTTAAAAAAATTGATAAAATAGATGACACAAAATCCTTAATTTATAATTTTATTATTGAATAATTCTCTTTTAATAATATCAATATCAAAAATCTATTTTATCGTTTTTAAAGCCATTTTATGCTATAAAAACACTCCAAATAAAAATAAATTAAATAGAAAAACATAAAAAATCACAAAAAATAACTTCTTGGGAGCCTCGCTCATCTCAAAATGACTATGAAGATTTGAATCTATATATATAAAAAATAAAATAAAATTTATAGAATCTTCTAGTAAAATTATAACTCAATAATAATCAAATAAAAATTTGTATCCGTTAACATAAAATTACATGTTTAGAAAAAATCTTGCGAAAAAAAAGAAAAGAAAAGAAGAAAGAGGTTACTTACCAAGTAAAAAGCAATGAACATTTACTCGGTAAAAACCCAGAACCAAACAAAGCATAAATAGCAAACTAAAGTGTTTTTTAATTAGATGGCATTGTCCAGACAAGTGTCTACCTCCTAAGCTATTAATGTAAATATGCTTATACGACACATCTTTTTATCTGTCATGATGATCACTGGAGTAGAGGTGATAGGTTTGGCCCTTACCGGCAGCCTGTATATCTCCTTCTTCTTCCTTCTTATGCTTTGATACCATTATCAATAGGAAAGAAATTTCATAATCTTTTTGTGATATTAACGATAACATATAAGGCAAGTAAGAACACTTGATATACAGGGATGGCGCCAGGGGAGGCTGGCAGGATCCGGGTCCCTGAAAGAAAAAAATCTTGACCCCATTGAACACTTTATAATTTTAGAGCCAAAGCTAGTAAAAAAAACGTTGTAATCTTCATCCTTTCAGAAAAATTTCAGACCTACAATAGACCTCAAAGGTTGTTAAATAAATAGATTGAACCAAGCACAGAATAAATTACAGTTATATTTTTTATTTAGAAATATTTTTGAGGTCTTAATAAATTTCAGAAATATTTTTAATAATAAAGGTTGTTAAATATTTTTTTTAAAAGAACACAATCTCTTAATAGATTTATGCGAGCTTGGTATTAACCAACCTTCAAAAAGGTGGATGATGACGCCTAAAGAAGGCATTAACAGGGTCGTGTGCAGAGTAATTCATTCATTGTCCATCAGCCTATCCCACCAAGCAATAAACACAGCATAATTATTGCAGACAAATGTGGACATAATCATTTGGCTTAAAGGTAAAATGAGCAACTAGCTAGTGAGTTCGTGTTTCTTTAATCGGTTCGACTCGTCAAATTCATTATTACTTATGAATGAAGATTGCTTGAGTTAACATTTGAAGGACCTGTTAATTGCCAAGTGACCATGGCAATATCCATTTGCCTGCCTCAAATGAGTGGCCATTATAGACTTAAAAGCAACACGGCATTTGAAACAAGACGGGGTTAGTAGAAAATTGTTCCCTGAAAAGCCTACACAATTAATCAATCATGGAGCTAATAAATTTGGATACTTTATGGACCAACAACTTAGGCGTACTATTTTCTTTTTATGTCTTGCCATCATTATGATAACTTTAATGCAAATCATAGCTGTTACAGGTATGCTAAACTCGGAAAACTCGTTACTCAAGACCTAATACGAGAAGGGTTTTGAGTTGAATTTTAACTGGTTGATCGAAATCAAAAGAAATTTAAAAGAAAAAACTAAAACTCCATCGATTTTTGACGAGGAGGCTCGTATTTAATAGATCAGGTTCAAACCACTTGTATAATTCCTGTGGGTTAGTTTTTGCGTGCATATACTACTGATATACCACCATCAGCACAAAGAGAAAACAGTCTTGGCATCTCCACCAAGCAATCATGGGAGATTGGAAAATGGTAAAGAATTGTCATGTAATGCCACTAGTTATGATTGAATTTGCACATCCACATTCAAAAGCAAATTGCAAAGTACTTACTCATGGGGTCATCTGATATTCCCTTTCAAGGAAGCCAAATGAGCACCAACTACTGAATAAAAATATGATGTAATCAATTCCTCACCCTTTCTAGTGCAAAATTAACACTGGATTGACACCTGTGGTAAGAAGATAATGTAATTGATTGTTACCAATAATGGATCTACAAGAAGCTGCCAAA